AGGTTGCTGCTCACTGCCACATTGCAGGTTGCTGCTCACTGCCACATTGCAGGTTGCTGCTCACTGCCACGCAGCTGCTGCACGTGTACGACGCGCCCACAACACGCGAGTGGCTGGAGACCCACGTGACGTCACTCAAGAGGAAGCTACGCGAGGAACAGAAACAACGCCAGGACCTCAGCAGGCATGTGGGGGGTCGCGTCTTGGGGTCCCCAGGCTTGCACTTGTTGCGGTCCAGGGCCTATACTTTCAAAATTCGCTAAGTGAACGTAAGTACTTACGCTCTATTTTCTTGTCTATGATTGGTGGATTTTGCTTGAAGTACTTACGCTCTATTTTCTTGTCTATGATTGGTGGATTTTGCTCAAAGGCCGTCAATGATTGGCTGATGAACTTACGATCTCTTAACTTTTTTTGAAAGTATAGGCCCAGGAGAGGAGGCCAAGTTGCCAGGCGTATAAATCACGCGTCCATTGTCTGCTAGTCCGTAAGTCGCCTGGCGACTAAAACTCAGCAGACCTAACAGACTGCAGGACAGCAGACCTAACAGACTGCAGGACAGCAGACCTAACAGACTGCGCAGACATTAAAGAGGATGGAGGGTCAGTAGACCTTAAAAAAGATGCTGAAGCAGGATAGACAAAACTCACTAGGGAGCCAAAGGGGGGCGACAGCCTGAAAAAGTTTGGGAACCACGGCTGTAAAGTCTCTCATCACGTATAATTTTTTGCGTAATTTCTTGTTTATGCGCTCAGAAAAATATATGGGTCATATCGTAAAAATAGCGACACATTTTCACGTAATTAAGTTGCGAAATAGAGAAGCGCAATCAATGTCACAATTCCTTTATGGGCAGTACGACTTCTTACAATTAAGTGTCCACAGCTGCCGATATGTACTATGATAAACCATGTGATAAATATGAAGTAACAACCTTTAGTTGCAGGTGCCACGGATTGTCAGAGTTGTGAAGATCACCCTACTTATTTCTCATAGTGTTAATGTCACTCGTTAGCTTACATCGCAAATTAACAAGAAATTTAGAAGTAAGGAAAATCTAGAAAAGTTCGCAGTGTCTTGATAAAAAACGTTTTGTAGTTCAGCTCCATAGTCAGTTCGAAGAATCTAATATGCACATAAAATCACAAGTTACTACAGTCTAAATTCAAGAAACCGAAATTAAAACCTAAATTTACATATATAAAACAAGACAAAGAAAAATTTCTACAAAACTTATCTATTCGCAATCTCAAGTGGATATAAGCTAAACGCTTAATTCAAACTGGGGCTCTGTTTAAAAATGTACAATGATTCTAAAATACGCAGTTCTGAAGGACCGGAGTTGGAAGCTAACACCTTAAAGTTACTCAGATAACGGAACATCACACTGCTCGGCGTGCATGTGCACAGCCGAATGATGGAGCGAGTAACTGCCCAGTCTTGCAACTCCTGCCCGAATGTTCTGCGACCCTAGAATAAAGATTGCGTGACGTCATCCCGACTTACGCAGATGCACGTGGTGCAGAATAATATTAATAAACTCGGGACAAACGCAAATGAACAGGGAGCATGTCTTTGTATCTAAAGAAAGAGCCGATTTTGAAATTGTTTGCCAGCAAAATTATTGCATGAACAAGACTTGCAATTCTTTTAGCATAGCTTCGGACGCAGGGCGGAAGTATGGAAAGAACAATAAGCAACGTTCCTACTATGTTCTCTTCAACATGTGCTAAAACTAGGAAGAATTAAAGTTATGCAGGGAGCTGGAGTTAGGCGAGGTGTTATACTGACTAGGAGATGATGTAAAGCTCGTAAAGTGCCAATGTAAACGTTTTTGTGACAACTATAACTTAAAACCCTGTCGTGGGGCCGCATTGGACTAGTCATCAGAGGCTCCCGCAAATCTGAAAAAAAAAAATAAATAAATAAAAGAAACTTTCCTACTATTGCGCTCGAGAACAACCCCACTGCATCGCTTCGACGTGATTTCTTGCTTCGGGCAGTCACAATATTCGCTAGCAATTCTTGGGGGTAATTACTGTCGCTCCCACCCCTGTGGGCTTTACGGCTGAGCGCACTCACGCCGAGCTGTGTGCTGTTCCTGTATCTGTCCAAGGTGTTAGCTTCCACTTCCGGTTCTTCAGATCTGCGTATTTTAGAATCCTTGTACATTTCTAAAAAATTCAGTTTTTAATTGCAGTCCATTGAATTTAAATTATACTAACTTGTGAGTTTATCTGCATTTAAGAATCTTTGAACTGACGATGGAGCTGGACCCTGAAACGTTTTTATAAAGATACTATGAAATTAGGCGGACCTTTTTTTTTTTTGCTTCGGATTTCCTTGTTCTCTCCTAGTAATGTCGGCGTTGAAGAATAGGCCTAGTTTTGTCAGTCGACTATTCTTGTACTTTTCGACGTGTCTTGTTCTAAAGGAGAACATATATATGGATACATAACATCATCTAGTCTATTCTTGTACGCGTTCATACGCGGAGCGTCAACTATACGAGCTGTGGGTCTTTTCAACATGTCGGCGACTCGAAGCAAGAAGTGTTGACGCACTGATGCTCATTCTTATTTCATATTCTGGGAATCCTTCGGGTATCTTGGATAAACCAAGACTATACGTAGATACTCCGATGAGGTCGGCACGCAGACATCGATAACAAAGACTTGGAAGCTTCATGAGATCAGCCATTCGGAGACTTTGGTATAAGATTTTTCACTCGTGGGTAATGTGTAAAATCTCATTAAATTTAGATGGAAGGCGATACTGTTAAAACATAATTTGGTATTGTCTGTCACGCTTTGGTGGTGTGAAGGTAAGGCTTAAGCATAGTTTGCTTTCGATTGCCACGGTTTAATGGCGTGCATTTGAATAAATATATATTTTTCAAACGTATTATGTACTCAAATATTCCTAATTGACTAGAAGCAGTAAGCGGCGATCAAAAAAGAGATGCCCGCTCAATTGCCTTCAAGATTATTCTTATCTAAGGCTAATTCGCATCAATAAAAGTGGAAATCAATCCTTATACTCATACGACGTAACCTAAAGATAGCTTAATCGACATTGCATCAAGCAGCAATTCTTTATCAGTGAGTTTCGTTTCATAATAGTAATTTTGGTGAAATGTATTCCCAATCATCCCGTTAAAAAGACGCTTCTAATAATTGAATAATACATATCAACTTTGCATTGATGGCCTTATGTATACTCATGGCATTTCTTCAATTACTCTTCGTTTTAAAACTTTAATGAACGCAATTGGAAGCATATAAAATGTACATTGAGCAAGTGAATGTTCTTTAACATATCTAAATCGAACAGTTTTCTAGAATTAGTGGTGTAGAATCAACGTTAACAATCGACAGTAATTGACAAATTTGCGTAAATCGGTAAACACTAAACACGCCAAACGACATTTCTTACTGCCGCTGTGGCCAGTAAGAAATGATCCCATTTTGATATTTTGAATTTGAATCAATTCTAAAATATACTATTCAACTTATTGCTATTTATGTCTGGTGTTGAATTGATCTTTATGCATAATCCTAATGAAAGGACGATTTTTTTTTACTTTTTCCATAACACAAAGTTGGGACGCCTGTCGGAGAACACCACGGCCGTGCATCGAATGGACTATCATGATCCCTTCCCTGAAGAACGTAGCCTATAACACTTCTTGACTGTAACATTATCAGCCGCAAGCCACCAGGCAGATCACATCCATTGAATTGATCAATCAGCCTACAGGAAAGTAGCATGACGTAGAATGGCCCAGCATCGTCTGCCAATACGCGAAAAAATTTGACACCACTCGGACGGAGCGCGCCGGAGCCGTCCGTATCTGTCCCGTGTGTCGAATCAGCCTACGGTCAGCTGTGCACCACCAATTTTATGCACCAGTAAGCCGTGAAAATTTTTTACGTTTTGCCTTCGTTAGCGAGTATTTTTCTCTTTTCCCTCATTCGTGATTTAAACAGCAAAATATTGCTTTAATTCGCAGTGTATCAGAGATTTCTTTTAAAATATTGAACAGATTCGAACGAAACTTTGCATAAAGAAACCTAACCTCCCAACGGTGATGTTTAGCTCGTGACAATTTTTTTTATTTTGCCTTCGTTTGCGAGTTATACGGCTTTACGTAAATGGCTCATGGTCAATGCAAGTTCAAAAATCGGCCAGAGAAATGCCGGTCGTTTCTCCGTATATCCTTATAACTCGCAAACGAAGGCAAAATCTAAAAAATGGTCACGAGCTAAACATCACCGTTGGGAGGTTAAGTTTCTATATGCAAAGTTTCGTTCGAATCTGTTCAGTATTTTAGAAGAAATCTCTGGTACACTGTGAATTTAAGCACTATCTTGCTGTTTAAATCACGAATGAAGGAAAAGAGAAAAATACTCGCCAATGAAGGCAAAACGTAAAAAATTTTCACGAGCTAAACATCACCGTTTAGTACTCAGAAAGTCATATTCAAAATTTCATTCAGATCTGTTCAGTACTCTGAAAGAAATGGCCGATACACAGCAAATTTCGGCACGTTTCGTCATATAACTCACGAATGAAGGCGATATTAAAAAAATTGTCACGAGCTTGACATCACCGTAAGGCCATAATGAATATGTGTACCAAGTTTCATCGAGCTACGTTCAGTACTTGGTAGATATTCCAGGTACACTGACGGCCGCGCGACCGGCCGCAAGTCCGGCCGTAAATTTGTCCGAGACGTTTCCTTTCAGGGCTGATTGGTGCACAAATTTGGTGGTTCTCTGCTGCGTTCCCTGAAAAATTACAAATACTATAACCTTATTAGCAAAATAGCTGATATGGTACTATTTCACACTGTAATTCAATTGCGTTATAAATGAAAATTACATGGTTAAATCGTAAATTCAATTTTTTCATACGTGTAACTTGTAGCTTAAATTACGAAATATTCTATGATCTTTGAATGTTGAGCTCCGTTGTAAAATTTTCCAACTCCTGTTCAGACGATTACGCTGCGTGGTTCTCTATCTCTGACGTAGTCACACAGCGCGACTGTAGTATAAATGGAGAGAAATCGAGTACGCAAGTTAGTTCGCCTTGAGCCGTCGCAGAGAGTGGTATCGAATACGCTCTGCGTCACTGAGGGAATCTTAAGTGAATTTTTAAGCCTGCCAGTTTTAGGTTATGGGTAAGTTAAGTATGCATGTAATAGAAGTTCTAGCTTGTTGAATTTAAGTTGAACTTTAATTATTTTTGCTGTCTGAACTGACTCGATAACATATGATCGCATGAGTCTTGATCTCTCTCAGCTGCTGAATCGCGTGGTATACTTGTTGGCTGCCCGTGAGTTGAGTTTTACCTGAACCAACTGTAGGTGCAGATAAGATTCTTATCGTGGGATTCACTTCAAATTATATGTGCTGTAGGTTCAGACATATTTAATTTTGTCACCTTCGTTCGTTTCAGTGACTTCTTTTCCGCTCTTTCGAGGCAGCACATTTCCTACCCAAATTTTGTTGTGGAAAATTCTGACTTGTGTTTTCGCTGGAATAAAAATAAGGTGTGAATTTATAAGTGACATAATTCGATGTTCGTTGAAATTTTCTGCAGTTGCATATGAATGACTAAGATGCGTAGTTTCAACTTCACGCTTGCCTGAGAGTTTTGCGACTAAGCAGGGTAGCCGACTAAGGTATATCATGAAGAACTATTATCTGAATATAAAATATCTGAATGCAAGGCATGACAACGTTTGATGTGCACGGCTAGAATAGGCTGAAATGTAAAAGCCCCTGCTACATAACTACATTATAACATTTGTTTGTTAGCGTTGGATTTCACATGGCCATTAGCCGCCCATTAGTTATACGCTTGTACCCATTAGTTATTATATTATCATTCGTACACCAATTGCAGATAGAAATTCTCCGAGTCTTTGAAATTTGTGCGAATCTGCTAAGAGATAACCCGTCTCACAGTGCAGAACTAAATAGATATCATGTCATCTATCTCGTGTTGTGACCGATGCCATGCCGAAGCACATTTTTTTCCAACAGCAAAATTATTCTGCATTCCTAGACTTAGCACTGCTAGTTGAAAGTCCGAAGCTCGGTGAATGAAGGACATAGCTCTGAATGAATAGCGATGACGTACATTGCTATTGCGCAATCCCTCGTCCTCTTTTCCGAGAGGACTGATTAGGTGGTGACGTGTACAATGACGTCATGGTTTGGACAGCTGCGTCGACCAATGGCAATAGTGTGCGTCATGCCAGCAGTTTCCTGCGTGAATTGCACGTGGGAAAAGAATAATCAATCGGCAGTACTTATTTGTGGTCACTGGTCATAACTGCGAGAGAAAGCCACATCAGTTATATATCATTGAATTTTCAAGCTTTTCTAAATTTGAAGCTTAATTTAGTACATAGCTTCGCAGACACGTGTCATTCGAGGATAACGTGGCATCTCCATGAGCTATTTTTGTCCGGACGTTCTTCCGCGTGTTGCAGTGAGATGTCGCCACGTGTTCCCTGCTGACCTCGGCAATTTCACTATACTCTATTTAACGTCATGGTTGAACTATATAAGGTCGACCCACGAGAAGTGCCGTCTTTCAGTTCAGCTTTCTTTTTACGTCACGCAGATCGAAAAACGTAAACAAACCCGTCATTCTCATGACGGATTGGTTGACTGGTTTGAACGCATTTAGGTGATTGGTTAATGCTTGTGACGCGAAAACGAGCTTCTCAAGGGTCAACCTTATACTAGTTCAACCCTGATTAAACGTTGTGTAGGCACAGTAATTAGCATAAATTGCTGCGTAATTATTTTCGTTGCACCTCGTAAGCTTGCTGATTCTGCTTTTTTTTCAATTTCATCCGTGAAATCTGTCCACATTGAAACGTCGCTCTCAAACACTGTTCAGTGAAAGAAATTTCTCTTGGGTAAATAGAATGTAGTGAACTCCTGGAACGTTGCGCACTGCTACTTTTCTAGTCCGACGCTGCGGTATTTGTACTAAAAGCGTATTAGAGATAACCTCCATTATGGGACTTGTAATTTACGTACTTCCATAACTAACTCTTCAAAAGATCTAGACAACCTGATATCTAGAAAAAAAAACAACTGAAATCTAGAAGCGATTTTTAATCTACCGTCCGTTGAAAAGATTTGATCAAAAGGCCAGTCTAGTCAAGAAAAGTACAAGAATCGGCGACAGGCCTATCCAGGCCTATTCTTTAATGCCGAAGATACTATACTATACTAAAAGCTTCAAAAGCTATCTGTGGGTCAGCATCTGAAAGTCTCTGCACGATCTGATGATGCCATCACGATCGAACCTCAGAAGTACGGCAATTGTGTAGCTGTAGCATCTATTTTCTTCAAATTCTCTCTGCGATATCGAGCGGAACTATCGGCTCTGTATTCTGATCACTCACCCAGGCAGAGTTCATACCATATCGCCGGGCACGTGCCAGGCATGTGAAAGTCTCGGTCCAGTCCAATGTTTTAATGCATTTCCATGGAAGCATTCACACCATGGGCATGGCAGGTGCCTTGCACGGCTGGTGTAAATGCATCAATGAAAATGCCTTGACTAATGTTGGACTGGCATATGCGTTGCAGAATGATGTGTACCCGGCCTAAATCGTCAAGGCTGTTTAAACTGGTGTTTCTTTAGGTACTTTACCATCTTCATTAATCTTGGATTTTTTTACAGAAAACTCTTTAGACGAAACAGATGGCTTAGGAGTCGGTGGGCTGAACTACAACATCCCACCGGCGTCACCCAGGATCATGGGCTGCTCTCAGCCTGTCACCCTCGGCGAGGAGGCCTCCGAAGAGGACAGAGAAGTCATCGTTGAATGGGGCACACGCGACTCCTGCTGGCCCAGTTGACTCGAGAAGCAGCCGGGCCACAAGAGCCCGACATTTTCCCAGTCGACCACCGCGCCTCCGCTTCAGCGCGCGCAGGGTCGCCGTGGCAGTGCTAGCAGGTGGGTAGTCAGCCCAACTACTGAAAACTTGTTAATTCAACTCATTGGGATTCTGAGGCAATTCATTCTTTTCTGAGAATTGGGACATCGGAAATACCGTGACTAGTCTTTGGTATAATGATTAGAGATGATTAGGTATATTGGTATAATGATTAGAGAATAGCAGATCGGAGATATTTGTCGAGAACACTTGGTATCTGTTATACCGATGAAGGCTCGATATCGAACTTAACCCCGGAGCAAAATCAATGTTGTAGCATGAAGGAGAATAAAACCTGCTAGACAAGGCACGTTCTTCAACTACGAATTTAATATATTGAACGCCTTATTAAAATATTATTGGCTCATAACTCATTGTTTTTAACCTCGACAGTTCGTGTATACTTTCTACTTACGGAAGTTCTTAACTTGCAGTGTGGACAGCGCAGTCAGTGGTAGTACAAGCATCTCCTTTACTTCCAACTCGTACGCGTCTTCAGGTTTCATCACAAGAACAGAAGAATTTGGTTCATTAAAGTTGCCGATATCAGATTACTCTGAAGCGCACTCCTCGGGTTACTTCTCGTCACGGTGTGACGGCGTGAGTGTGACGGACAGCAGCGCCCGTGACGACGACTCGTCCAGTGACGACAGCGACTGGGACGAGGACGAGTGGCCAGCGCATCACCCACTCGTACTGCCCCTCTACGGCTGTGAGCGGCCAGAACTTGAGTTCTCGTGTGAGCGCGACTTGCGAACTTTCCTGGTGCCAGTGAGGCAGCAGCTGCAGGACTGCCTGCAAGCCTTGCCCTACGACACAGTGTCAACATTTCTACAGTAAGTTTACCAGATCTCTGTGAATTTTTTGAATTAACGCTGTCTTGGGTAACTGTACTTGGATGGTTCTAGGATTGATCGAGGATTTCTTCTATTGTTAGCACTGGTTTCGTGCTACGATCAATTCGCATTTATTGGCTTTGTGATTGTATTTATTACATACACAACGCCCAGTTTGATTACTTGGCTACTCGCCTTCGTGGCCGTATCTAGTAATGAAACACTAGTGCCGAGTGCTTTTACTGTTCATACTCACGTTGTGATCCACTTGCAGGTTCTGCCAAGAGTTTAACAAGAACCGTTCAGACTACAGCTCTCTGTCAGAGTTCTTCCGTGACTACGACATACCGGTACTGCCCGGCCGCTACACCTGCGTCGGGCTCAGCTCCGACCTCCTGTCCAAGCTTGTGCATTTCGAGTCGTCTCACCCCGGCCTGAAGGACTCCATGTACCTGGTCAGTCCTGCACAAAAATTTTGGTGTTGAATATCTCTTTGATATTCCGACATTATTATAACGATCTACTTTGGTTTTATTATCAAAATGTTCTGCTCATCCGTTGCACCTTTCTTCTGCAATTTACCATCTGAAAGAAAGTAAACTAATCTCAAAAGTTAAAAGAGATGAAAGTTTAATTTTTTGCATAATCATTTCTTTTACATATTTACTTCCTATGTTGTCAGGTGTCGTGCGAAGAGGACATCGAGCGTCTCGACTGGTACTGCTCTAACTCGACGCCGCCGCTGTTCCCGAGCGAGAAGGAGCACGTGCTGGTGTGCGTGCGCCTGCGCGTAGCAGGACGCCCGGGAGTAGTGCTCATGGACCCAGGCTATCATTTGTCGGAGCCCATGGTTGTGATGGAGGATGGCTTGAGCCCTCACGCTGCCACCCACGTCGCCAAGTGTGGCACTACCACCAAGACCAACACCTACGAGATCTACGAGCATAACTCCTCGTACGTCGTGTGGCGGTCCAGCAAGGAGACGCCCCTGGGAACCTCGAAATGTGTCAACGTCGTTCACGTCTCGCGTCCTTTCCTGTCTGGGCTTGACGTGGCTGAGCGACATAACCTTGTCTACGGAATGAAAACATTGATTAACAGAGCACGGAATGGTGAAATTAGATCAGGTTTTTACTTCACTTTGCAGCCGATCAGAACCGCTAAATTGACTTTGTTCTTTTCCGATGATAATGGCGAACAGTTCCGCGTGAAGGTGCCGTTTACGAAGTTCCTCGATGGGCCAAACTCTGTTGGTCATAACACATCGTTGGAGCGCTGGAGCCCTGCACGCAAGTGTGCCTGGACGTGTGGGGAAGAGGATCTCTGGCGTGAAGCTCTGGCTTGTGTGGCCAGAGACTCGGGCAGAGGACGAGAGATTTTTGACATCCTGCCCCAGATAGCCTCTTTGCTCGCTGATAGCCATCTCCTGGATCAGCTCTTGGAGATAAATGCTGCCATAGTGAACATGAGCAAGGATAACTGAAGACGGAATATTGGTTGCCACGTACGGGAAAACTCTGTCGGAACTGATTCCTTTACCTTGAGTTATACAGTACTACTTTGTGCTCTTTCTTTTTTAATTGTGCAGAATACATTTTTTAAGCGATTTTATGTTGATTTGGCCGTGATCAATTTTCATTTTACACATTTTTAGCGCTTCACTTCATATTTTATATTGTCTTGGATTTAACAGAATTTTACATAATTTATATTGCGATAGTGAAATATTTACACGACAGCTATCTCCTTTTACGTTGATAGCAGTGATTTTTAACGCGCTAGAAATCAACGGTAACAAGAATAATCAAAATAAAGCTCATAAGCGCTTAATGTAGATCCTTCATTGCTGCTTCTTCGCTGTGAATTTGTTGTGATTAGACTCGTCGGAATTTGCCAACGGTGTAAACAGATGTGCAAATAGGACTATATTTTGAATAAATTTTCATACGCGTTTCCTTGCTTCATTCATCAGTTTAATCTTATACGAGCTGCTGCAGTTCAGCAATTGCTACGGTTGCTTCAAGCAGCCTTGTTGACCCTCCGGGAACATGTCGTTCAAATGAATTGTTACGTTAACAATTAAGTTTATCAACCTGGGGCCATACCTACTTTCAAAACTCGCTAAGTGAACGTAAGTACTTACGATCTATTTTCTTGTCTATGATTGGTGGATTTTGTTTGCGTGGCAGTCAATGATTGACTGATGAACTTACGATCTCTTAACTTTTTTTGAAAGTATAGGCCCAGAGGACGTTTGTACGCAACAGGGAATAATTGAAAGTTGTACTTGGCGGCAACCAGCCAACCATCAGTGCAAGTCATTTTGCGCTCACTAGAACGTACGGTATCCTTTATGGGAAGTAGGTTTGTGACAATAATGCACCGCTTACTCGTGTAAGGCGGGAAAGGGTTAACAGCGGCTGAATTATGAGCAAGTTCACTATTGAAGTACAAAAAGGTTCTATGATAAATTAAGAGTCTTTCGTTGTCCTGCAGAGTCGAGTCTGAACTCTGGGCTGAAAGCATATTGTAAGTTTTGAATGCCGCCTGAATTCGGTGGGCTGCCCGCGTTTTCTGCTAAATAAATTGTAGTAAAGAAGAGGTCTTGAGTTACTAGAACTGATAAGATAATGTCATGGTATGGATTGGCGATGCGGCCTGACGAGTAGCGCTCGTGTAGCTTTGCAACTACTTACAACGTTGGGGTTAGAGACAATGGCGAACTAACAAGGCTCGAAAAATGATCCCTCGGCACTCGTAGTGAGCCTTGTGCCGTTTTATTGTGAAATATACCGCGAATTACCCTGGGTGTGGTCACAGTAAACACTTATCTTTTCAAATGAGTGACTAAACTTTCGAGCTATACCAGCAGCAGACCGGGCCAAACTTTAGTGACTGGATAGCTGTCTGGAGCTCTTGTAGACAAGTTGGCTTATGAACACCACGCACTGTACTTTCCACCTCTCCAGTCACCTCCCCACCCCCAGCACGGTCTTCAGCACTGGATGGATCATGTGTGAAATGTTCAAGGAAAAGCATTGCTATTTTATAATTTGAGGAGGAGTGGTTGCCAATTGGAAGGTTTCTCAATCCTTGTTTGCCCCGAATGCTCTTAATTGCACGCCTGAACCATGCGTCACAGGTAACTGAGGTAACTGATATAATCTGTGATAAGTAGTGAGCGATTTTCCACCGTTCGCTGGCAGTTGCTGCTGACCATGTCCAGCAATTCATTTAAAAGATCATGAATTTGTAAACTCTGACGTCATTACTATTTTTTAGATCCTAGGTCATTTAATATACTCGTAAAATGGAACGTTTTACATATATGCGTGGGACATTCCAATGAATTGTGTAACACTGGAATTTCAGTCATTTACTACAGATAGCGTTAAAATGTAATTAAATACGCACCTATCAGTTACGTCATGCTTATCTACAACTCGACCATTTCCCTTGTCACGTGATTAACATATGTCACATATTAAAATATCGAACAAGGTGTACGCCATCCCAGATTATTCGTTGTTTGATTTGGGGTTTACCCTGTAAAATCTCGGAAACTTTAGAGATCCAAAAGTATTGGTTGATAATAAAAAACGAACTAAGGAAGCTCTGTCAGGTGGGTGTGTTTATTAAGAAACGATTAAATGATTCGCACGAAAGAAGGAAGTGAGGACCTGGTGACACTGCATCGATTGACACAATGCGCACTTTCCATCAACGAAAATAATACGATCCGCAGGCTATATAAGAGAACTGCTAGTGCAACAATAAGAAATATGACAACAATCTTGAACAATATGAAGTTAAATATTAAAGATATCTGTTCATATTCGAGACTCGAGGTCAGCGCGTACGATCTTTTTATGAACATTTTCACAGCTTGCTATGGGTCTCGAACACGTAACTCACTACTCAGATCCTGCATTGCTTAACCACTCGGCCGCCTAGCCGATTTTGACCAAAACTGTGGCAGGGAGCTGAGATCGAGCCCTGAACTCCCTGCTCCAACTTAGGTACTCTGAACTGTTATCACGGGGCCTTTGTCCCTGTAGCTCAAGGGCTCCCTTTAAGCCTACGGTGTTCCCAAGTAATCTCCAGCTTTAAGCTTTGAGGGTAATGAAGCTGTTGCGTGCTGAGGCAGAGCGTTGCTGCAGGATTAACTTTGTAGCTCATACTGCGCCTCTGACAGATCGTTATTGATGAGTATACTTGTAATCGCGGCTTCAAAATTTCAGTTGCAAGGGCATGAATAAAATCGGAAAGTAGGATGAGGTCAAAGAAGGAGTGGCGTCGGTACACGTTAAAGAGTTGCTTGCAAGTGCTGTATCTTTGCACAGCTCTGTCATGTATTTATTGATACGTGGGCGCTGAGATTAGGTCACCGAGATATGCGCAAATTTGTAAGCGGAGAGTTAAAATGTGAAGTTCTTCGCTTATGAGTCTCTGAAGAGGCCTGGTGTTAATTCAATCATTTGGTCGTTCATGTCCTCCAACAGGAAGCAGTAACCAGGAGCTCACGTCTTGGCTGAAGTTGAACTCAAGAAGAATTGGGGTTTTACTCAAATATTGTGGATTTGGCTGTTTATCTTTTACTTGCGAAATTATAGGTTGATGTGGAAGTGCAAATAAAAGAATGTGATGTCATATATTAAAAGGTTTTGAGCGCCACACTTGTGAATGCCGAGTCCTATTTCTTTAATTTCGTTATATTTATTTGTATCGTGTATCTATACTTTACGATCAGGGTAGGGTAGCCCAGTGGGGGTTAGTTCAGAGTACCATAAGTGGAGCAGAGAAGTGCGGGTTCGATCCCAGCTCTGTGTGCCAGTTTATGGTCAAAATCGGCGAGGAGGCCGGGCGGTTAAGCACAGCAGAATTGGAGCAGTGAGTTGCGTGTTCGAGACCGCGACAAATTGTGAATGTTCTGCGGTGTTAAGAATCAGCGACAAGCCTACGGCCTAAGCTTAATAAGAGTTTTTTAAAAGATACATTTCATACTCATTCTCATTTACCTATATCATATGAAGTCTTTTGAGTTGATGATATGTGCCCATACGCCAACGAGAGCTGAAAGTCTAGTCAGAACATTTTTTTACTATTTTTCTGATATGTTTCTTTTACATGGTATATTATTATCAATATGCGAACATTATCAACTATTGCCAGAACCGAGCAAGTCAATAGTCAAAGCTGATTACTTTATTTAGTCACACGTGACCATAAAGAACGACGTTCTTATTCACAATCAACGATATCTGGTCCTTTCGAGTGGAAAGTTACACTGGAATATTACTTTCATGCATTCCTGTTCAAAATATCTCTCAGTATGTCGGAGAAATCTTGGGGTAAGTCATAAATTAATATATATAAAATTAACAAATTTCATCATTGATGTCTATTACCAACGATTTTTCCCTATTTATTTCAAATTACTTTCTCTGATTCTCCGATATGATCTGATCTTCTGAAGTCTGAACTGAACTTCTGAGGCTTTGCCTTGCTGCCTGTGCCTTTTTGTCTGGCAGTAAATGAGGATCTCGTAGCTTGAATTTTCTCAAGCATTATAAATAAAGAATATCAATTTCTATATTTTATGACTGTATGGTGAGATTGTGAGAATATGTTTATGGCAGTTTTTACTACAAATGTGAAATGGTTGGTTGTGAAGTAGCCTAGTAGGTAAGCCAATTTTGAATTTAGAATAGGGTAAACTCACCATATTCCGACACTGTGGGTAATTCTGACATCCCTCAGCTTTTTCCTTTATATTAATCATGGTCTTAGTTGCACACACACGTAGATGATTGAAATAGTGACGTCATACTATTGCGCGATAGCATGGTGGTTTTTTAGCAAATCCTTGGGCATTTAGCCCCAGCAGACTCCAGCAGGCACTCCGCAGGCACAGTGGCGCTCCGAAGCAGAAAATCCTAGATCCAGGTTTTTTTGCTTCCCACTCGGTTTCTAGGTTTTTCATTAACAAACTGATCCTAATCTAATTTTTTTCAGAATGGTGCGCTGAAAGCAGAAATCAGTCAACAGTTATAGCCAACTTAAGCCAAGAAAGGGAGAACTGCTACAAGACTTACGCAATGGAGATTGGAGCCATTTACAGGAGATATGAAAGTAGATTACTGGATGCATCATGCAACTATTCAGGAATGATTACGATTTACGAATAAATATTACTTACTAAGTTAGTAAAGTTACTATGCTCATAAAATGACGGCTAGCTTAGTCAGAAGTCAGCTCAGTTATCACTTATCAGTAATCCACTCGAGGAGAAACTGGAGATCGGAGTAAGAACAGCGCTTAGCAGTCAACACAGTTCCTGTTACATGAATTAATATGCGCCAGTCGTGGACTATAGATGTAACGTACCATAAACAAAGGACAATAAGGTAGACAACACTTAAAGAATTTTGCACGTGTTAAAAGGGTCGAAAGCCTTAAATTCAGTCACAAGAGTTAAAATATATTAATATTTTTGCTTTCAAAACATACATTTTATTTTCTATGTACTATATTGATTATCGGCTGCCATTCTGCAACAAAATAATGTGTCGATCTATCTAAATAGTCATGGCAACAACTCATTGCT